CCATTCTGGTTTCAGAAACAAGAAATAGCTCTGGGAAAGGACCCAGAAAAATTATAGCCACAATCAGATACTTAAAATGCAAATTTTAATCAGAGATAATCTGTGAGATGGTGTTCATGCAGAACACAGCCTGTCAGAACCTCCAATATCCATGCATGTGGGAAGACAGTGCAACGTAAACAGCACCCAAGAGCTGCATAGAGAAACTGTTACCACTGAATGCTGTCTGATCACTGACTCACTTCTTATATAGCTCTAGAATTTGGATTTTTATGACATTTTGGTACACCTCCTATCTGGAGATTTGACAGACCATCTACTCAAACTGCAGAGTTCTCCCCCTCTTTTTGTTACTCCACAACAGAATCCCCTACGTAAATCACTAGCAGCTTAAATTGTTTTAAGAATTGAATATTAAGCCTTTGGGAATGTATGATTTCCTTAGTAATTCTCTCAGTAGTGCACATCCTGCTAAAGACATCTCAACCTTTTCACCTCAGGAAGTACATATTTAAGTCATGTTTAGTGGGCGAAGATCTCTTTTCTCAGAGAACTAATGTCCTGGCTTGAAGCTTATATAAATCAATACCCCATGGATTAAAGCACTTCACTGATCTCTGGGAGGAGTCCATAAGAATTTCTTTCAAGCTGAAGAAAAATAAAACTTTAAGCCTTTTTCTGCCTTTCAGAATTAAAGAAAACATTATCAACTTTCAACACGGAAAAAAAAAAAGTTCTCTCTGAAGGCCAAGATTTGCTGAAACCATCAAGATTTGTTACATTTCTCAAGTGAACTTTGTATCTTTGTGTTTCACCAAGCAGACTACTAAAGTCATTAAGCCTCCAGCCTTCAGCTTTCCGGATAGGAACCTTGCAGATGCTGAGACCTGTTGGACACACAGAGCCACCCAGAACCCAGACTCACAAAAGTCTCTTTTCTAGGAGCCCATGACAGCAACTGACTAAAGCAAGGCTCAGCAGCAGCGTCCTCAAAACATTTTTCTACTCAAAGGAATCGTTCAAGAAAATTCTTACTTTTCCTTATATAGTATTAATGTTTCCTTATAGTATTAATGTTCATGAGAAGTCCAAATATCTGCTCCTTTCACCTACAAGAGAACTAGTACTGTTGTCCAAGTCACTGCATTTTCAGACTGCTTTCTTTTCCAGTGCGTAATATCTTCCAGGTCATCAACATCCCATCTTCTTCACAGGATTTCCTTTTAAAAGGCCCTTTGGTTTGAGACATTGGCTTGGGAAAAGCACGTCCCTCTCTTTTTTTTTTTTTTTCACTACTAAAAACCCAGACATTACCTCTTTACCAACAGAAAGATGATGACCAGGTTCCCTCTCCTTCCTGATACCAATTCCATTGAGATTAAACATTTAAACATGACGAAAGCCACTCCATACTTAGAAAAAAACCCTCACTAATTCACCAAAACATGAAGACAATCCATAGGGAGGGATATAATATCAATCAATAAATAATTCACCGGTAATTATTTCAGTACAGACGTTAGAGAATTGCAGTGCCAACAATAATACTGTGTGCATATGTAAAATACCTTGCAATTTCCATCTTTTCTACTTGTCCCTGCACAACAGTAAATTACCAGCACTCAATAGATCTGCGTGGTTGGAAGATGCAAGTGTCATCAGTAAAGAAGATGCAATTGAAAATCCTCCACTGTTTCCTCTCATCAGCTCCACTGCCTGCTGATCCTCTCCACAGTCACTTCTAGGCTGCATTAGATTTTGCTCCCTATCATAAGAACTCTTTAGACAACTGCTTGTAATAAAAGATGGCTTGTCCAGATCTAAGTGTTTCCCAGGCCACTTAAAACTTAGAAGACTGGAACAAAATAAAGATTTGACAGGAATAGTTTGTGTGTAAAAAGATCAATTCTTAAAAACAGCTACCTATACTCAAACATAAAATGGAGTTGCTTGTCTCAAATCTAAGATGAATGGACTGCTGATGAAAACAGTAATCCTTTCAGCTCAATTTCAATTCTTTCAGAACAGCCCTAGGCCTGTCCTCAGGATGCAGGTGCCAAGTGGACTTGTACAAACAAAACACAAAAAACAAAGAGCAGGCACTTGCAAAATGAGGATACGAAAGCACAATATAGTCCAAGCAGAAAATCTACCCATCAGCTCTAATGAAAGGCTATGCCTGCAAGAAGCAGGACAATGGGAAACCAAATGGGACATCAATAAGAAAAGAGGTATCCGATATCTATTCAACATTTCACTGCAGAAGAATCTTGTGAGAGGGGAAAAAAAAAAGAAAGAAAAAAAAAAAAAAAGGAAGAATGAAGAAAAGCACTAAAAATGAGAACATGAAATCCCATCCACCATAAGGACCCAAGACATCGGCAAATCCCTCTCTACTGAGGTGCCAGGTTAGTCCTGTCCAGAAGCAAATGCAATTTGTTCTCTACATTACAACAGGGTGACCTTACACAACTGTTTTCAGCAGGTGCTAGGAGCCAGCATCCCCATTCAGATACAAGCCATGTTTGGAATCCGGCTTCCATCAGAGATTTATTAGATGTACTTTCATATACTAAACCAATTTGAAGGATACATTAAAAACAGAGGGCTCTTCCCTACTGTGATTGTATGCCTTAATCAAAACAAAACCAAAGTCTGGAGGAGGAGTTTCATTTATTAACCTCACTGCAATCATAATTGGATAGTCTAACTGCTCAGATTATTCCAGTGATTCAACTGCAGTGCAATACAAATAAAGATATCTGTACAAAGTGGACTGCAAAGAACTGAAAATTAAGACCTAATTAACTATACATTTGTGCATCATTGCCCTCTAATAGAGTATGGAAAACTGAAGGCAACATGCTATTATACATCATGTGCTATTATTCACTTAAGTGTCTAAATTACAGAGTTTGGGAGACAGTAGTTACGAGCTTATTAAAAAGCCATTTAGTTCACCATATAATACACAGACTCTTTTAGAGACCGAAATAGGAAGCATAAAAGCAGCATGTGAATAGCAAGTCTCAATGAGAAATTATTCCTGCTGCCATAATGACAGATTTCCCCTCCAGAATTCTGTTTCCCCTATCACACTGAGCCACAGCAAGCACTACAGAAGCATTTCTGGAGTCTGATCCACACACTTCACATTTTTCTTCTTTAAAAACTTGAAGAAAAAGCTTACTGAGTGCAAACTGTGAGAGGTGTTCACAACTCCTCAGACAGCTGTACAAAACTGCTGATATAAACTAAATAAGGATGAAGTTAAAAGACCTAAAAATTCAGACTAAACTTGGTTTTTCAGACCAGAAATTCTTGGGGCGTGAGAGTGAAACAAACCTCTACATGGGTGAGAGCAGTGACACAGGTTGGGTTATTATAGAAGTAGAGAACATCCTTGGATGTGCAAATAGTTAGATGTGGGGATAAAAACAAATTTAATGCGTGCAGCGTATGCTACGGATGGCTTTGGCACAGCTTGCTCAGACACAAACAAGATGCTGGGCAGCCATCAATCACATGGCCCTTAATGAATTCCTGCTGATGCTTCACACTCAGCTATTGCCTTTTGTATTTCTTTCTTATCCTTTTCACCTTGTGCCTAATTGATTACAAGCTCCACTAACACTGGAATTTGTTCAGCTTGACAGCACGCAGGGTGAGAAAGGAGCACAGGAGATGGGTTGTGGCTGAGCAGTCAGTCCCAAGCTTGGCAACAGCACCCTGCCAATCCCACCATTAGCACAGAGCGAGGCCAGGGATCCATGCTGGAGTCTGATGGACACCCCAGACCCACGCACACTTCCACGGCCCTGCATGGACCAGACACTTCTAAATAAAACCTTTCCTGCCCTGCAAACGCCCACTCCCAAAACACAAATTCAAGGTTTTACCCACTCAGCATTTCAGAAGCCATTTAATGTCAGAAATAGTTTTCTGAACACTCCCTTCCTTTTCCCTCAGAGGACTTCACAGAGCATTGGGAAGAGTGAAGAAAACTTCCTTTCAGAGTTTAAAGTATTTAAATAGGAATATATAATCAAGACAGGCTAAAATATTTAAAAGAATTCCTAAACTGTGTTTTGTTTCATGTGAAGGGATTTATGTGCCTTTATCACAGAGACCACAGCTGCTGAGCTAAAACAATATCTTATGTTCCATTTTTCTTCTCTTCATTATTCCTTCAGCAGCAATTCACATTAACCATAGCATAACTTTTATCTTAACAGCTGATAAGAGCTTTTGAAGGACTCATTTATACAACTTCTGTTTGAGTCAAGAAGGCCATTAGCATCTCCATATTCAACAGAGATAAACTGCAGCCATCCCAACACTGCACAGTACAAAAGTAATGCAAGCAACCCCTCTCCCACACTATTTTAATTATTCAATATACATGTCCTCAGTTAGCAGCACTAAGCAGAAAGTAACCCTTCTACAATCAAGTGTGCCACACATTGATTTTATAATAATAAGAGTTTAACACCATCAGTAACTAATACCACATGCATATACATATGATATGATCTTGTACATATTTACCATACTTATGTTTATAAATACAGCTCATTGGTTTGCTATCATGTTAAAACAGTTTCTAGTGCCACCCCCTCCAGCAACCATGCCACCATCCATGCCAACTTTGGCTCAAAAGGCAGAAATAGGTGCCAGGAGTTGCAATACCTTCATTGTGTTCTGCTCTGCAATGGCATGATGCACATTATTCTTCATTTCACTTCTCCACATATTTTGAATTTTTGTGTTAAGGAGAGTAAAGTTGTTGGAATAGAGTATCTCAATATTAATGTTTTTCAAGAGTTGAGCAAGAAATTAATGAAAAGCAGTTGTACTTGCCACATACATTTTTTGGATCACATTTAAGCATGTTGATGTATCACAATGTTGATCATACTTCTAACAGCACATATCTGAGGGAACATAAAAGAAAAAAAAAAAAAAGTCTCTTTTTATTCCAAAAATGCCTTGAAACTTACATTTCCAAGAAAGTTTCTTCATTTCAACATGAAGAGCCTCAGTTCAGTGCAGAATGCCAGAAGCAGGCCTCCAGATCAGTGCAGCTGCTTGAATGGCCAATGAGCTGCTGGGCTTCACCCTCCTCACTGAACAAAGCAATTGCTGATGGGGAAAAAACAATGATTAAACATGTAAGTTACTTCAAAAGGGGCTAGAAAGCTATCTTCTAGTCAGCTTTTTCTGCCAGTGATTCCAGGTCATTTACGAAGTCTTCCTTCATCTTACATGATCTAAATTAAGAGCTGAACTGAAGAACCAGCCATATGAATTCCACTTGTCCCCACTCCTGGATGTGCCACCACCTCCAGTGATGCACTCACTGATGCATTAGTTGTTGTCTACGTAGGCAATTTCTCACTCACAGAAGGCATTTGCATTGAAGTCTCCCCAGGAGCTATGCCTGGAGATGCCTATGTCTCCACTCCTGTTACAGCTCAGTAAGGATAGACAGATGCATATCTATTTTACTGCCAATTACACAGCATTACTCAAGCCACATCCCTCCACCTTTCCCCCCAAACACACCAGCAGAGTTACCAAATATTTAATGTATGCAGGAATCCTGACATAAATGAGACATTAGAACATGCCTTAAATTCTTCTGCATTGCCAATTCAAGCAGATACTTTTGTGATTAAGCACAATGCGGTTATGCAGAGAGCAGAGATGGGCACCTTCACAGCATAGATCCACGTCTGCATCCCTTTGTTTGGATGCCTTGTAACTGCTTTCAGCTCTGTCTCCATTCTGACAGCTGTGCTGCAGCACATATACTACAGCCAGTGCACAGTTGTGAGACATTAATCCAAACACAGCTCCCCCTTCACAGCCCGTTTGGGGAAAAGGCAGCACAGTCCATAAACCCTGTAGTAGAGGTGGGAAAAGGCACACATTCACGTGGACTAAGTGACATGCTTTTGAAACGTGAACCAGGCCTCGGGAGCATCAGAGGGAAGTAGTTCAGCCCATCTATCCCATCAGCACCAGCAGGAAAATAAGCTGGCCACAAATCAAAGTCCTACAGGCGTTAAGACATTGCTTAAAATGCAAAAACAAGGCAGAAGAATTACACCATGGTAAGTAAAATAAACAAGCTCTTTTTGGCACGTAAAGCCATTTTCCCAGACAAGCAAAATCCCTGTGGTGACTTAGCAGTATCCCAAACCATTGGGACCCATAGCCCTGAGGATGCTGAAACAATGTCTTTCACAGAACTGAGTATGCTCAGTGCCATGGTTAAATCACACTCACAAGAGACCATAAGTGACCATAGGTAAGCCATGGCTACAGCACTCCTCACAGCCAGCCCGGTCTTACCCCAACTCTGTTACCTTTCAAGTAACACAGTTGGCATCATTAACAACGGTGATGAATCCCTTTATAGATGAAAAACATATTTCTTACGCTGCTCTTTCCACCTCAAGCCATAACAACTGCTTGAATAAAGACCTGATAAACTCAATGCATGCATTTTAACTCACATTTCAAGGTTAAAGAAAGTCACTCTAACATAGCCTACCTATAGATAAACTTACGTTGCAATTCGCCCCTTGGGCTTTTAATTACTCTTTCCTTCAATGTTTGTTTTAAAACCTTCCATATCACATTCCTGTTCCTTCTGTAAACACACAGTGTCATGCCTCCAACACACCAACTGCTGCCATTTAGGGCAATAAATCATTTCTGCACAAGTTCGTGTTCTATTAGAAACAAAAATCAAGAAATAGCAAAGAATGAAAACTCAGCACTTCAATGTGCAATGTAGAAGTTTAAAAATTGTTTCAAGGTAAAAACAAACAAAAAGACACAACAGCCAACCATGGAACACAGAAAATCCACAAAACTTCTTCAGTACAGACAGGGCTGATGTACAAGTGAAGAATAAACAACATGTTAAGGTCACCCAAGCAAACACAAGCTTTTTTTAGAGCTTCTCATTCAATAATCCCAAAACATAGTAGTTTGCTAAGAAATGGAAATTCAGTTTGTGTTTTCCCTCCAAAAGAAGAAAAATTAAACATCTACTTCTTTTTTTTTTTTTTTTTTTAAACAGAAGGCATGCACCAATTTTTCTCTGCCATACGATACCTAGAGCAATGGCATTCCTACTACTTCACTGTGCCACTTGTCCAAACAACTGCTGCAACAGGTAATACAACCACTATTAACATACAATCTACATCCAACATTCTAGTTCAGTGCCTTAATGCAGTTATAAAAAAAAAAACAAACCTATCTTCCCATCAGTGCTCTGGGGCAACATCATCATGATGTACTTCAGGTTCACCAGGGAGGCAGGAGCCACCCCAGGTAGCTACCAATTGGTGCCTCCTGAGAGCTGAGCAAGGCAGGTAGGCAGCGAGGTAGCTACAGCTTTGGCTGACCACTTCTAATCCCATTTTTGCAAGCTGTTTGGTCCCTGTAAGCTTTTATTAGTGGAGGTCACACCACTGGTCCAGACCTGAACTGTTATTTCAGTACAGTGGTTAACCCCATTAATCTCACGTGGCCACTCCATGGCACCAACCTGCTTCAGCTGCACTGCTCTCACCTTGCAAAACTGAGAAGTTCTCCCCAGCTGGAGCTCCTGAGTGTAACTCTTTTGCTTTAAGTTTAAGCTTTTTATTGAACTTGAGATGATAACGTGGTGCCTTCGAAGCAGCTACGACTCACAACTATCAAAACATCCATTTCAAAAGCACAGGTAATTTTATCACCTATTTCCATACAGTATGCCAATACTTTCTGCATCATATTATAGAAAGCTTCTCTAGAGGAGCCAGGTTTTTATGCATGTACTGATCTGCTTGAAAAAAGGACTCTTTCATGAAAAGCTTTTGAGAAAGGCAGAAATGCTGCTCATCCCCAAGCTTGCCACATTCAGACAACATCTTCTTGGAAAATGTTGGGCTTTGTTTTCATTTTTATCATCCAGCTCTGCCTGTTTTACTAGCTTTATAATGCATCTCTCCAGACCTTCTTAAACTTTCTGCTGTGCCATGAAAGCATTTGAGTTATCTTACATTTCTGAGTTACAAACAGTAAATAAAAGTTACAGACATCTCTACATTAGGAATTGCAAGGAAAATCCAAAGGAGTATAGCTTGAAATTCCTAGACCCAAACTTTTCTGAGAAAACAAATCATATTTATTACCAAATTTAGCTACTTTTAGAATCTTTCAGGACAAATACAGGTCTTAAAACAAATAAGGTCTTAAAACAAAAAACTAAATGCATAGTTTTAAAACTATCCATGTGTATATACATACACACATACATGCAAAACATCATTAGGGGGCTTATAATGTATTCAGTATAAAGCATGCCTTCCTAATGCTCCATAGTGCAGTTTTATCTCAAGGTTAGCAACTAGTTCTGCGTGTGGAAGTTTGGCTTATTTCACTCCTGAGCCTTGCAGCTCATTTCATCATCCAGCCCCTTTGTGTAATTAAAATTAATCAATTTACATGCTGGCTACTGCCTCCACCTGAGCACTGGCAAGTATCCTCCTCGAGCCAGTGTTTGGGAGCATGAGCCATTTTGGAGTCACAAGTACATGCATCACTACACACTATCCTTAGATTACCTTTGTCTTTTTTAAAATCTAAGTTCAGCTTAATACTTTCTTCTCCAGTTTCCACACCTCCTCCTGCAAAGAATCTTATCCCACCATGGTGTTTACCTACATCGAAAATATTTTCCTGTAACCTCAAAGAACCCCAATGCTGTCAAAGCCCAGTTTCACTATGTCTCCTGAACTGATCCCACACCATCCACTCCTGGTTTTACTGCTGGCGTGTTCCGTGTATTAGCAGTCTTATTTTAAACCTTGGCACGGGCATAACTTAAATAATCCATGGATTTAAAACATCCTTGGCACTTAGTGAGATGAACCTTAACAGCTTGCTGGGAGTGACAGGATTTATCAGGTCAAAAATTAAGGGGTTACAAGCCCAAATCTCAGATTTATAACACAAGCTCATGTTTCTCAAATTAAGTCCTAATGTGAGCTGGAATACTGTCAACCAGCTTCGCTATTGCTTTTTCCAGGCCCACACTTACACTTCCAGATTGTTCAGAAGCACACAGCAGAAGCAGAGGAGCAGGCCAAATCCCTCAAAGCGAATCTTTTGCTTGAGCTATCTGTCTTCAAATGGATCTACAGTGTAGCACAGTTTTAGCCACAAGAACTCAAAGAAGGAGAACCCAAGCTTTAAATTTAGGAAAATAACCATTTCATTCAACACATTCACAAAAAACTTGAGTTAGGAAGAACTTTCTCTATACAAAAAACAAAAAAAAAAAAAAAAGAAGTTCACACAACACCACTGCATCTGTGGCTACCCACTGGCTGCCCAACCCAGAATAAAGACACTGGAAAAGCCACAAGCCATACCTGTGTTTCACAGCCAAGATGTGGCAGTGCTGGTGACCCTCAACACAGGCCAGGAAACAGTTAAAATGCAACTCCCACGTGAGGTACAAAAGCATCAATGATACTTTGAGTTTCCCATCACTCCTGGTCTGCCTTGGCTCCACATCTCCTACAGTGCTCTGATGTCCCTAGGAGACTAACAGTTCTCCCACCTTAATCACCTTCCCCAAACTAGAAACACCCAGGTCAGGTTGGATGTGGTCCTGGGCAGAGTGATTTAGTGGGTGGCAACTATGCCCATGGCAGGGGGTTGGAATTAGATGATCTTCAAGACCTAAGCCATTCTGTGATCCTGTGGTTGCTTTCAATTCATTGCATATCCCTCCATCAGGCTTATATTTTGCTGCAAGGCTGTCAGTACACTGCCAGGCTTCACAGACCCAACTCCCCGGACCACTTATGTGACTGCCTGATGATCTGCACCCAGTGTTATCACATTAGAATATATCTCGTAGGTCTTCAAGAGAGATCTTTTAGCTTCTGAATGCCCGTATATCTACCCCAACCTGCTTCCTGTATATTGTTTTGGTATATAAAATATACTGATCATTAAGCTTAGTCTTTTTTAAAAAAAAAAAAAACAACATATCCCTGTGTCAAAGGGAAATATATAGGAGAATTCACCGAAAACGAAGCTAAGAAGAAACAAGAATTGGCGAAAAATGC